CCACTCCTCCGTTGCTGATTGGCTGAACCACTCTCCGGCAAACGGCATAAAATGGGTTTCGAACCAATTTTTTGAACGGCGAAAAATGGCAGACGTGCACGAAGCAAACAGCCGCGCACGGTTGCCTGAGAACGTAAAACGGCTAGGCACGCTTGCCGCACGCTTACCGGCCCTTAGACAGACGTTGAGGCAACGCCCTATCAGCCCAATGTACAGGTTGTTTCCTATACTTAGGGGAAATCTTGGAGCGCCTGGCACCGCGATGCGACTAGCGCTGCGATTGCGCTACAGCAGAAGCTCACGCGTGCGCAGACGCTTCAAGGGTGTGGAGTTGAATCGCACCGTCTGCAAGGGCAGGACATGTGATTGATAGATTTGTGGGGTTTAACGTCCCAAGGCAGGGCATGTGCCACATTGTCAGTCGGCAAACGTATATAATTAATATTGCGGCAGCTGGGCCAATACTCTGCACTATGCCCCGCCGCGGTGGTCTAGTGGCTAAGGTACTCGGCTGCTAACCCGCAGGTCGCGGGTTCGAATCCCGGCTGCGGCGGCTGCATTTCCGATGGAGGCGGAAATGAAGGAGGCCCGTGTGCTCAGATTTGGGTGCACGTTAAAGAACCCCAGGTCGTCTAAATTTCCGGAGCCCTCCACTACGGCGTCTCTCATAATCATATGGTGGTTTTGGGACGTTAAACCCCACATATCAATCAATACTCTGCACTATATATTTTCAAAAAAATTAGTGCAGCAAGATGAGCTATGTAGAAACAAGGAACTACTAACTCGCACATGCTTTCTTTCTTCATGTCCCGTCTTGCTGCGCAGTTTTTTCAGAAGTTCCCAAACCAACTTGCCCAAACTTAGCATTGCACAACGTTGAGTGCAGATTAGCGTTAAACTCTGCTTTTATTCGTGATAATGGGGCACCAGATGCTGTATTTAACAGCGTAACTTGTTTGCTCTATAAAAACACCGTGGCACTGTGTGTGTATTTCTTCGTTGTGAAGCTTGATTAAGGTTGACACAATAATGGGCATGCACCGCCGCGGGCGTGGTCTATATTTGACTTTAAATTGAGTGGTGACTTCTGAGCAGCTGATTGACTTTAACACAACAAAACAATGGGAATGAATTAAAGCATAATTTAGGAAAGAACAACCACCTGAATGTGCTGATCCATGATACATATAGTTGATTTTAACAAAAAAGACTCGCTCCCAGCGCCAAACGCCCTCTTCACACTTTCAATTTTTTATCGCCAGTGGTAGCGTTGATAGCGCTCATTCTACACGGCAGTGAATGCGTGGTGAGAGTGATATGTTCAGCAGCGGCATGTCCCATTCGTCGACCGTTGGGAGCGTGGCATCACAAGATCCAGATTGAGCTCAATAAAAAAAAAATGAGGGGGGGGGGGAGGGAGGAGGCTCGTTTGCTATATGCATGTTAATTTTTTTATGTCTGAAAAGAGCAGTACTGTGTTGTGTGTCTCGTTTAGCATGTCTCATATACCAAAGTGAAAGAGTTACGCACGAATAATTTAAACTGTGTTGTAAAAACTACACTATATTTCGGAGCTGGCTAGTGAATGTTGTGGTAATGGAATGTCGTCGTAAAGAGACACGTTCAGTCTTTGTCCTCACGTAACAGCTTTCCGAGTTGGTTTTCATTTGTTTTATCTTGTTAAGCCAGCGCAACAATATGACTCTTACGCTTGGGTGCTTCTTTCATTCAAAGTCAAATCAAGACGACGCATATTGCGTGTTAATAGTGTCGTCCTCGTCCAAGTGTACTGCAGTGCAGACACGGTGAAAAAAATATTCATGAACGCACACAGCAGCATGGCGTTTCGAGTGAGCAAACAAGGTATGATGTCAAATCCTGCTTGTATAGCACCCAGTTATGAGAAATTAAAGCTGAGACCTTTAGCGCATATTAATGACCCAGTTTTCCCACTAACAATAATATTCGCGCACTGGCAAGCAATGCGTCCAACAAGAGCAGCCGTAGCAGACGACGCTGTTCCAAACTACGCCCCTGAATCATATGCGCACGCGCGAGCTGCTGACGGTGCGTGGTTGCAGCACTGGCCGCATCACGATGCCACACGCGTCCAGATTTACCTTAAGTGTGAAACAGCCTTTGCGTGCACCTGTATGGCAAAGGGGGCAGTGCACCACTCCGCTAGCACAGCCAGTGAAACGCTTAGAGTGCTTTACAGAGCAAAATTCAACGCTGTTTGGTCAACTCTCGCGCACACGCTTCCTGCCAGAACTACTAGACCAATTTGATACTTTACCGCAATATGTCTATGAGGGACGCCGTATTGAAGGGCTCCGAAAATTCAGACCATGTAATATTTTTGAACGTGTCCGGATCTCACAGTACTCGGGTCTCTACAATTTCGCCTCCATTGAATGGTGACGGCCGCTGACGGTATCGAACCCCCTACCTTTGGGTGAGGAGCGGAAGGCTGTAACTTCTACACCACCACCCCGGTCAAGACGAGACATTTAGAAACAATCGAAATTTGCAAAAAAATATTACGGATGTCATTGTCGAAATGATCCTCGACGGATCATCATCGCTTAAAAGAGACGCATCAGCGCATGTTAGAATACACAAAAAGAGAGTGGTGACAACGGCTTTCCTCGCAATGCGCCGAATAACACCTGTTCTAGAATACATGAACGAGCGGGAAGTTGTCACAGGTGGGGCGAAGTAAACTCGGGGGAGAGTTCGTTCACAAAGGTGCGCCTGTTAGAAAGCACTCTTCGACACGCAGCCGAGCAGCGTGACTGGCGGAAGAGAGTTTTCATTACCGCCTTATTATTTTTTTTCGTATACAGTCCATTCGATTTACCGGTACCTGGCCCAGATGGTTAGCTAATAAGGCCAGGTTTGTCCAAGAGAGCTGATGTGCGCACACACGCGAGATGAAAATAGGGTCCCGCCTCCCCGGACGCATTCAGCGCACGTGCGTGAAACCTTAGAAATTGAATGGCGGGTGCATTTGCACGGCGCGGGTCGATCGCGGCTCGTCAGGCCGCCTGATTGTGCGGCGCGCTCGCATTAGCAATTTCCCACCGGCGCGCCACGCAGTGCCGTGGAACGGTGATAAATGCGCCGACCAGGCCCAGCTCAAAGCATCGTGGTGGCACAGAGCGTGGAAGAGAACGTTTTCCTTCCGGCCCGGCGCACCTTTCGCGGTGCGCTCGTAAGGGAGACTTCATTACGCGAGCGCTCGCAGGTGAAGCAGCACTGCTTGCTGGAGCGCACAACAAGGAAGACGATCGCACTTCCGCAACAAGAAAACCAATCGCGGCAGCACGACCACGACCTCCGAGCTTAATGAAAAAAAAAAAAAATACTGACGCAGGTTTGCACACGCAGAGCGCGGTTGAGTTTGGTTGTGCATATTTTTTCATACGCGTAAAACTTTCTGAATGTGCATTCCGTTACCGCCACTGGGCTTCCATTGAACTGCTATATGATCATGCGACTGGTTTCTAACACGCGAGCTTCTGAATAAGAACGTGGAAACATAGGCATTTGTGGAACTTGCCACGAGATCAAAAAAAAAAAAAAAGAATTTAAGGTACTAAAAGCTGCGCATACGTCAGTGTATGATGCGAAATTCGATGAAGAAAAATACACCAATATATAGTGCACATTGATATACACTGATTATTATACATATTTTTGGTTTTCGGCACCACGATGGTGGAATTAAAATCAAGTCATGTACTTTGCAGCAACAGAAACCTTTAACACACTGTCGGTCCTCACTGTAAAACCAGCCCTGGCAGAAGAAGGTGCACAACAACCTGGAAAACCAACGCAATGAAATAAAAATTAAGTTTCTTTTAGCCATCACCTGTTCCATAGAGGGGTCTCTTTCCACCACGCGTGAACTGGCGGAAGTTGGCTGGAGGCAATGACTCTGCCCCATACAGCGTTGCAATGCTAGGCGGGATTACCGGAGTAAGTGAAGGATTTTTCTCTGTGTCTGTGTGCCGGAAAGTTTTGCGTGACATCCAGGTAGAAAAAAGCAGCAAGAAAGTTATGTATATATATGCAACTTTTTGTATTTGTTACTTGGTGAGACAACTGCAATCCGGGAACCAACGTTTTCATTTGAGGCTATACAGTATTTGAAGGAATGGCTGAGGTCGCAGTCACATGGGTGCATGAAGTGAGTACGCGCAAAACGTGTTTTAAGCTTTTTTTTTTCTTGCGTTCTACTTCGGCGGAGCAGTACGCTACAATTAGCAGTACCTGAACAACTGCAATCGTTAGTTCTAGCTCACTAACGATCGTTTTTTAAACTAAAGTAGGTTGAAGCGACAACCATCAAGACAGATTTCTTTTTACAGCACTATGTGTTGGGTGAGCTGGTGTTAATTATATTTATAGATAATCATAGAAATGAAAATAATAATGATTTCAGGGATTTTACGTGTCAAAACTACGGTGTCATGACGAGGCGCACCGCACTGGTGGGTAATCCCTATCAATGTCGACTACTTGTGGTTCTTTAACGCGAACCCACATCTCAAAACGCCAAAACCCGGAACCTAAAGTAATGTAAACGGAAGTTGAGGCAAGTCACCTCCATCGTAATACGGCCACACGTTGGAACAGCGGGAGGCTTCACTGTCCAGCACTGAACTGGCCGAACAGCAAGCGCTGATCACCCAGGTTGAACGGGCGGCTAAGGCCAGTAGGGCCCTCGACTATGGCTCCCCCATAAGAATCTAGTGTACTTAAATAAGGTTTGTCTATTTATCTACAACAGCTGGCTTAATTAGGAAAGTCAGCGTAGAACAGACGTTACACAGGGCCGGAGAATCAGATCACTGTAGAGGCATCCTGTGGATTTCCTCGGCTCTGTGCTATACGCCATCAGGCTCCAGACAGCCCTTTTAGTTGCCGACACAGAACTTCGATTTGGGGCGTTATGCTGACGCCCACATTACGTAAATCACGATTCCACATACCATGGCGATGCGATCCTTGTACTTTCTGCAGCATCCCCTGAAGAACGTGCCGACATCTACGTCCGGAATGTACACGTCCTGAACAGCTGACCTGACGACGCCGTCTTCGATCACTGCGCCCATGCTGTTCACGGTGGACGTGGTGGCGGTAGCACCTGCTGCTCGAGTAGTCTGACTTGCGTCTTCGCATGGGACCGGCATGTCTCGGGCTTTCTTTCCTGCGAGTGACGCACAATCATCAATGATAAAACCTGGTTTAGGGCGGGAACAGGCGCCACAGCAGCTCGATTAGGCAGTCACGGTCAGCTGCTAAGTGAGCACCGTCACGCAACAGTCATTGTGTAAGCAGTGGCCGAACACAAACACAGGAGTGCGCCTGTGAGCAGTCAAGGACTTTCCGTAGCTTAGGGTAGGAATGATTTAAGAAAAAAAAGTAATGTGTACGACACAACTGTCCGAATAAAGATTTGATATCTTATATTTATTACATGTAAGCCTTACGGCTTTCATGAACTTGAATTTGCTTTTACAAAAACGTCAGACAATGCATGCAACAAAAACAACAAAATGGCATGAAGTGCAGATACACTTGCCAAACAATGCTGTCATCTACTTCAGATACATTAGTAACAACTGTAATATCTCACGGTCAGTTAATAGCGCAACTTCGAGAACTGTTTGGCTCCCGTAGCAATTTGAGTACAGATTGCAGGATCGGTATTGAACCTACAGGAAACTTTTACGCTGCTAGTTATGTCCACCCCCCCCCCCCATTTGGTTTTTCTTCACATGATAGGGCTAAACGGAGGCGGCGCCTACGTGGGGCATACGCACAAAGTAGCGCAAGCAGAGCGCTGACTCTATGAAAGCATTAATAGAATACTTTGTAAACTGGCAAACAAAATTTCCATTGTAATTTTCAAAAAAAAAACAGCTTACACATTCTAGTGACTTGCGGGAATCCTGCACTACAGAAACATTAAATAAAAAGGAAAATAATATACACCTACATTGCCTTCACAGCATATTTCTGCTAGGCGTCCTTTAAAAAGATGAAGCGCCCTTTCACGCACCAAGCACGAACGCAGTGACGCATGACGATGTGGTCGCGACAGTGGTTGACACTTATCTGTCTACATTGTGGTAGTATACACAAAAACAGCTGTTCATTAGCCTTACCTCTGGCTGCCGACGGATGGTTTTATTACTTACTTTTCAGTGCAGAGTGATAGAAAGGGAGACATTCACTCGTCGACGGAAAGAAAGCGAAAGCATAAGTGACGTAACCAGTATAATGCTGTGTGATGAAAACCGGAACGTATTCTATTCTTTCTTTCCACCGGATAATCGAATGGTATTTTTGTCTCCCTATTTTCTTTGTATAGTAGTGCTGCCAACCTCGAAGATATTGCTGCAACAGGCCACTATAACATTTTTCAGTTGGCCGAGTACTGAAAGACCTAAATAACGAGTTAATATCTTTAACCAGCATTTCTCGGTAAACTTCTAAAGCGCATCTTTGTTTGTTTGATTAACAAAAAAAATTTTCCTTCTCGTCAACTTGGTTTCAAGATGCACTCTTCCTGCGAAACGCACTTAAAGCGCGTTCACACTGAGAATTCAGGCCGCCGAAAGAGCACCGAATCTGATTCAGCGGCGGCCAGATCTGCCGAAAGGGCCCTCGATCACTCTCGGACTGAGTTTTGCGGCATCTGCCGCCGAATCGGTCGCCTTGGACCAATAGAAGCGCTAGTCAAAGAATTTTGAAAAATGGCGGCCAAGCCCTACTCACTTGTCATGTCGCAGATCACGTAACGGAATGTTGTAACCAACGGGATTTTAACCCACCCTGTGCCTACTTGACGTCCCTATTTCATAGAAGAGGTAACCGCGCGTGTCGTTGGCGTGAGCGAGTTTTTTGCGGTCTTGCAGAGCAAGGCCAACGTCGCTGGCGTCGGCGGTATTTTCTGCTCTTCATGCATTACAAGACAGATACTTGCCAACAAAGTAACAAGCACTGCTTCTTCTTGCCCCAAGTGTACGAGAATCATCGCATTCTATACCACCAGATTGCCTAGTGGCATTTGCAAGCCACGATAAGAACCGGCTGACAGCGCATCCTATCCCGCGTTTGCCCCGAGGTAGACCGGCGCGGGGCGCGTCCATTGCGAACGACGCTGCGTTTCGGCGGCAGGAGCATTTCGGTCTCTGTAGAAAGCGGGTCCTTCAGAGTGAACTAGGGGTTCCTCTCTTTTGCTATATCTTTGTGAAACTTCCGCCAGTAACTTTATGATTGACTACATATTTTCTAGATTATGGTAAAACCTTTGACACTGCATCGCTCACCTTCTCCCTAGAAATGAGCAAGCTGAATATTTCACTTCATTTCATTTTATTTGATTTATTAGTTCAGAGAGTAGAGGGCATGAGAAGAAAAAGCTCGACAGAGCTTTACTAGGCTTCGCAGCCTGTTGCTATGCAACGTCACGCAGTCGCAGTACACACATTCTACCCAAATAAATATTCAAAATAAACAAAACAAACATTCATTACATGCAGAGAGCCAAGAACATCTCAAACAAAATAAGCATTCTAATCTTTTTATGAAGGCCACTGCACATTTGAAAGTCCAGATAATGAGAAACACGAAAGAAGCTGCGACCTACAACGTACATCAATGTAAACATCATTTCGCGCTAAAGCATTTAAAAGAGAAGGTAAAGCAATGCTTAACATCTGGGCACCATAATTCGTGCGTGAGGACTTGACTAAATGTTTTTTCCATTAGCCTCAAAGGGTATATAGAAACGCGTTGGGAAAGTTCTGCTATTTAGTTAAGCACAAATTAATTTTTATCTCATATTTATGTCGCATTGATTGATTGATATGTGGTGTTTAACGTCCCGAAACCCCCATATGAATATGAGAGACGCCGTAGTGAAGAGCTCCGGAAATTTCGACCACCTGGGGTTCTTTAAAGTGCACCCAAATCTGAGCACACTGGCCTGAAACATTTCCGCCTCCATCGAAAATGCAGCCGCCGCAGCCGGGACGTGAGCCCGCGACCTGCTGGTCAGCAGCAGAGTACCTTAGCCACTAGACCATCGCAGCGGGGCCATATTTATATTGAAGAACTACGCGTAATTTTTACAGAGCAAATACAGACCTATACAGGCTAAATATAGACCTGAATATCCCAGACACTGCAGGATTCAACGCTTACTAAGTGGGTGGTTATTTAGTACTTGATAACAGGGCAGGATAAAGACAAAAGAAAGGTGAACTATACACAACATTATGTTGTATACAGTGTGCTTTTTTTTGTCCTTGCTCCTAGCCTGCGCTACCATCAACTATTATGCATGTACCACAAAAAGCCCACATTGCCCCGCTAATCGATTACAGTATGTTCAGGCTGACGATCAAGACTCCCCTATTGTTCTTGATATAGTTACTTAAAAAGTTCCACAGTTATTGGTTTTGGGGTAATTACTCTTTAATAATTAAAATAATGACTTGGCTGTAGGCAATAACTACTACACTAAGCTGTTTATTGATGATTGCGACTGTGTGTTTTGTCGAGTAACCAATAAACAACAGGATGCACCTAATTGAGAAGTTGACATTGTCGCTTCTTTTAAATGGTGCGACAAGTGGCTCATAAAACTGAATACCTTTCAATGTAATGTTATGAGAGTAATACGCAAAAACAAAGCCAAGCACTTTGCATGAACCTCTAATACCACCTCTTTGAACACCATTAAAAGGCACCGCAACTTGATTGGCATACATATAACTCCAAGCGCCGCATGAAATACGCTCGTTAGATACCGAATTCGTTACGCCGAATTCGAACTGAGAATATATGCCGAAATTTTTTATTCATTTCTTCCAATTTTAAGATCAAATATGCTTAACTATAGTTAAAGTTATTTGGGATCCATCGAGCCCCGCAATATTTACCGCCATTGAGTCCGTTTAAGATTGCACAACCCATATTGTGCTCCCTAACTACTTCGGTCACGCGAGTGTTTCATCATTGAAAGCTAACAAAGGTTTAAAGACGTTAAAGTCACACCGCTGGTGCTTCCGCCGAAACCACTTTCACAAACAATTTTTCACCCTAACTGAACATATAAACTAATTTTCGCTTCCTCTCATTACGTGTCTCCGCCGATTAATCGTGAACGTCAGGTTAAAATTCCCTTTTGCTGCGCTAACTCTTGTTAAGTTTTTTTTTTGCCGTGAACAAGCATTGACTGGAACCACATTTCCATCTTCTTTGCGGCAACCCGAGACCATGTCACCTTCAAAGTTTCAATAATTAATGAATCAATGGAACGCACCTCTCTAATTCTTCAGGACACTGAGAGGCTGAAAATAAATAAAAATTGTAATCAAATTTATATCAGTGAAACCACGAGCTCTGCCGCAACTGTTGCCACCAGTCAAACGAATGATTAAACTTGCTCATTGATATAATATAACGATAAAAATTAAGCTCTGTGGTTTCATATGGAGAAACCACGACAGCATTATGAGGCACGCCTAGTGTCGTGCGGGGCTCTTGAATAATTTTCGGCACCAGAGTTCCTTTAACTTGCGCATACACTTAAGTAACAAAACTAACAGTGCGGGAACAGAAGATCAGTAGTGACTGTCGCTGCTGTGAGGCATCGGATGCTATGTGTGCGCAGATGTGTTATCCGCATACTGTGGTTAGATGCAAGCTGCAGTGTGTATCTGCCTTGAGTCTTGAGTATAAAAACAGCCCATAAGGGCAGCCCATAAGTAGGGTACATGGAATGACCACGTGATATGCTTGTTTCTTATGTCCTGTTCCTGGGAGCGCTTTCCACTGAAGACATGAACCAGCTAGCCCCAAACGCAAACGTTTCCGCAGGTCATACTTCTTTGGTGAAGCTGCTCGAACGAACGAACGAACAAACAAACAAACAAACAAACAAACAAACAAACAAACAAACAAACAAACAAACAAACAAACAAACAAACAAACAAACAAACAAACAAACAAACAAACAAACAAACAAACAAACAAACAAACAAACAAACAAACAAACAAACAAACTGTGAACAGGTTTATTAGTCGTTAACAACAACGGCAAGACAGCGTGAAGAACCGTCCAGCAGAGACCGGCACAGCAGCGAACCGAAGCACGAGCTGAGAGCCGGGCATCGGCGATGCTGCTCGCTGCAGGCACATCTGCTGCACAATCGCCCCCGCCGAAAAAGGAGCCATCCTAGCGACTTAAAAAAGTTTCAGGCAGAGGCTCACGGTACGGTTTCAGTCGCGAAACATGAACGATGTCACGTGAATGCCGGCGCATGCCGTCCGGTCAGGAAACTGGTTCAATTAGGAAATTAACCGGAGAGGTTTTCTCCAAAACGGTGTAAGGCCCCTCGTACCGGGGCAAAAGTTTCGAGGAGAGTCCCGCAGTTTGGTATGGGATGGCGAGCCACACAAGAGAACCTGGGGCACAGCTGGGATATAGAAGGGCGGTGCTATGGTGTTCTTTCCGGCGTTGCTGCTGTTCCGAGCTGAACGTACGGGCGAGCTGGCGGCATTCTTCGGCTTGTCGAGCAGCATCGGAGAGAGGTAGACACTCGAAAGCATCAGGACGGTAGGAAAGTAGGGTATCGATTGTATGGGAAGGCTCGCGTCCGTAAAGAAGAAAAAAAGACGATAATCTCGTGGTGGTTTGTATTGTGGTGTTATATGCGAATGTGACGTATGGGAGAACACGGTCCCAGTTGCTATGATCAAATGCCACGTACATTCAGAGCATATCACCCAGCGTGCGGTTAAACCGTTCCGTTAGCCCGTTAGTCTGCGGGTGGTATGCTGTCGTTTTTCGTTGAAAGATGTCGGCGTCATTCCAAAAGCAGAGTTTCGATGACCTCGGAGAGGAATGCGCGGCCTCTGTCACTAAGGAGCTCTCGAGGTTCACCATGTCGAAGGATAAAGCGTTGTAAAATGAAAGAGGCGACATCCTGAGCTGTAGCGCTCGGCAAAGTGGTTGTTTCGGCGTAGCGTGTCAGGTGAGTCAACCACCACTATAATCCACTGATTACCATGCTATGCCAATGGGAGGGGGCCGTAGAGATCAACGCCGACGCGATCAACATTCCTCCGCAAGCAAAGTGACAGGTGTGCAAAACGGATTGCTTACGGACACGTTGCTTCTTCCGGCGGCACGGTCAATTGTTGCGAAAGGCAGCGGCAGAGCTCGACGACATTCGAAGATTTTGGAAGGCATAAAAAAGACTGTAGCGTCAGTGTAGGCGTTGCATGAAACGGGAACAAGTGCGAAATTTCCAGGTAGAATATCAGTATCTTCATGAACGAGCAACTTCGGTGGCTGATGAAGAGCGTCAAGTAATGGGACTTCACACAAGGGTGAAAACACAACTTCGGCGCGTGCGCAGTCGATGATGGCATTATGGCGAGATAGGAAGTCCCACCCGAGGATGACGTCATGTGAACAGACAGCGAGAACAATAAACTCCACGATGTAAATAATGCCTTCGATGGACACACTTGCTGCGCGCTTGCGGTGTGAAGCGACAGTCCCGAAAGCGGCATCGTGACTTTGCGTAATATATGGCACATAGCGGCAATAACAGAAACAGCGGCGCCGGTGACCACAAGGGCGAAAATACAATAACCTTCAACAGTTACTGCGACCACGTTAGCAGGAGAGGAGCGAGGGTTTAGACAGTTCGAAAATGGCACAGTTCTTGCCTCCTAAACTGTGGTGCTTAGTTTTCCTGGTCGGAGGGTCCGGGCTGGCGACGCATGGGGGAAGGCGATCGCCGACGAAGAGAAGGTGCGCGCTGCGGATGGAAGTCAAGGTGGTCTAGTAGG